CTTGGCCGTGTCGGCGCTCTGAGGCTGCAGCTGCCGGTGGGTCTTCTTGTGGCGGTTGAGCTTGCTGCTCTGGGCACAGGCGTAAGGACACTGGTCGCAGGCGTAGGGCCGCTCGCCCGTGTGCGAGCGCATGTGCACCTTGAGGTTGCTGAAGGAGCTGAGGGTCTTCATGCACACAGCGCAGGTGGGGCTCCGCCGGGGGAGGCTGTTGGCCTGGGAGCCCTTGGCCTCCACTTCCTGCCCCACCACGGCTGACATGGCTGCAGCCACCTCCGCCAGGCCCAGCAGCGGGGTCTCTGGGGCCTCGGATTCCGTCTGGTAGATGGACAGTCCATGGTCCCACTGGGCATGGCGCAGCAGTTTCCAGGCCTTAGTGAATTGTCGGCCACAGCGGAGGCAAGTCAAAGCCTTCAGGTCCTCAAGTTCTGCAGAGACAGGCCGGGTGTTAGTGTGATGGGTGAAAGCATAGCAGTAGTGGTCAGCTTGCCAGGCGGACACATTCTGTGGGAAAGCCTGTTCTAGGGCCCCAAAGCGGCAAGAGGACAGGGAAAACCCTGCCCTCAGGAAGCTGATGTTCAGGGAGGGGGGTAGATGGACGAGAAGCAAGGAAAGTCCGGAGTGGATGAGTATGCAAGGGTTCTTTCCGTGTTTGAAAATCAGAGATGCCCTCCTGGCCAGGTAGCTCAATTGGATAGAGCATCATCCCCATGTGCCAAGGTTGTGGGTTCAACCCCCAGTCAGAGCACATAAAAGAAGCAACCAGTGAATGCATAAGTAAGTGGTACAAATCAACTTTAAAAGAAGAACGGAAATCTTTGTGGAAAAGTGAATAAATTAAAAAAAAAAAAAGTGAAAAGTTAAAGCAGAGTGAGGGACAGGGAGTGCTATTTCATATTGGGGGATCAGGAAGGCCTTGCTCAAGGTGACCCAAACCAGTGTGCTAGCCCTAGCCGGTTTTGCTCAGTGGATAGCATCGGCCTACAGATCAAAGGGGTCCCGGGTTCGATTCCAATCAAAGGTCAAAGGCACGTACCTGGTGGGGCACATGCAGGAGGCACATCGATGTCCCCCCCCCTTCCACTCTCTCTCTAAAAATCAATGGAAAAATATCTCCTGGTGAAGATTAACAAAAAACACATAAAAAATTAAAATCAATAAAAACGTATTTATTTTATTTTTTTAAAAAATATATTTTATTGATTTTTTACAGAGAGGAAGGGAGAGAGATAGAGAGTTAGAAACATCGATGAGAGAAACATCGACCAGCTGCCTCCTGCACACCTCCCACTGGGGATGTGCCCGCAACCCAGGTACATGCCCTTGACCGGAATCGAACCTGGGACCCTTCAGTCCGCAGGCCGACGCTCTATCCACTGAGCCAAACCGGTTTCGGCAAAAACCAATAAAAACGTAGTTAAAAAGAACCCCCTCTTCGAACCTCAGTTTCCACACTTGCTAGAATATGGGGATCCTCTCCCTTTCGGGGTTGTTGTGACCTCAAATGGGGAACAACTGAGAGTTTAGGTCCAGTAAACGTTAGCTGGGCTGAGTCCACAATCCTCCAAGAGTCTGTGTTTCGTTCCAATAATTCCATCACAGCCCCTCCCTGCTCGCACTCTAGCGGATTTGATCACAGCTCTTCCTTTCAATATAGGACCCTCCCTGTGGCCCAGCCCTTTTCGAAAAAATCCCGGCTTATAGGCTGGGGACTGAAAATCCTGAGCCTAGTGCCACGGTAAGGGTTTAATTCCATTCCAAGAGAAGGAACCCAGGTGCCCAGGCAGGAGGACGCGGCCCAAACCAGGGGCTTCCCAGCAAGCACGACTGGGAGATTCCGGGGGAGGGGGCAACACCACCCTTCCAGCTGGCCTCAGGCCGCCCCTCCCCCAGACCACTGCCCTCCCCAGGGTCCCCCTACTGCCACACTGGTCCAGCCACCTGGCCAGTTATTTCTGGCCAAGGGGAAGGAGAAGTGAAACCAGATTGGGGGGGCGTGTGTGGCAAGTCCCCAGACCAGTCTTCTGGGGCTGGCCACACCCAGTGGGCCATCCTCCTTCCCTGCCCAGCCCTGCCCCCACCCTTCGCACCACCACTAGTCCCAGCCCTAGGACAGGGCAGGCCCTGGCCACGCCTAGGCTACACCCGATGGGGAGCCAGAAAGGGGAAGTAGTGCTCACTGCCCCGCCTGTCCAGCTCAGCCTCTTCTCCCACAGGAAGCCAGGCCCTTGAACTTGAGAGGGGGTTGCATCCCAGCTCTACTCACCTGAGTCCGGGCAAGGGCTGGGGCCTCTCGAGGGCTGACAGCCCTGCTTCTTGTGGTCCATGAAAGCCGTGATGGCCTTCAGCGGGAAGGTCTGCAGGCAGAGGCCGCAGGTCAAGGTATCTGGGTGTTTGTCAGTCCAGGGCTGGCGGTCTGCAGGGAGGAAGCGGGTGGTGAGCATGGGGTGGGGCCAGAACCGGCTGGGGGTTCCGAGGGAGAGGGGAAACCCGGAGGTGAGAAGGGAGCCAGGACCCAGCTACGGAAACACGGCCGGGGCAGGGGCAAGGGCCGCGGAGCGGTGCCGGAGGCCGGCGTCCCGCCAGAGAGTGAAAGGGGAGGGTCGCGGGGCCCGGCACAGGGGGCTCTTACCGTGCGGACTAGGGACCACAGAAGTCCACGGCGCCGGTTGGTTCTGCAAGCCGAGGGGGAGGGTACC